CAGAGAGAGAGAGAGAGAGAGAGAGAGAGAGAGAGAGACAGAGAGACAGAGAGACAGAGAGAGAGAGAGAGAGTTTCATTTGCAGAACATCTCAAAGAGCAACAACCTGATTTAGAACAAGCTGTACCTCTCCTGTGTAACGGTTTCGTAGGTTGAGTGAAGCCATAAAGTTGGAGTAGTCCTTCTTCACACATGCTGGTCTCTCTGTCAGCTGAGTGGTCTAAAAAGAAAATGCAGTTAAAGTAAAAACTGGGGCGAAACCGTCAAAAAGCCAGGAAAGTAAACTACAAAGCTGCACAGTATCACGTCTGGATATACTGAAGGTAAAAGCCTGAGTCCTGTCTCTCAGTATTTAATGTGGAGACCAACCTGAGGAAAAGCAGCCTATGGTTGGCCGCACGGTGGAGGACAGCATCAGCATAACGTGTAAGCCAAATGGGACAATCAGCCAATCAACCCCCCCGTCGATTGCAGGTAAGTTACGAGGTAACCAGCAAATCCGTAAACCAGCCAAGCAACCAGGTAGATAGTTTGGTTCCATTAAATAAAGACAAAATACAACAAATGAAGCAAATAAAAAGACAGATGTAGCAGAATGCAAGCCCAAGAACATACTACAAGAAATGCACCGCAAGCAAAATAACTTGACCAGTAAGCATGCACACAAGACATACAGTACTCTAAACACCCAGATAAGTGCAATCCAGTCGTTTACAGAGTTACTGTACAGAATTAAACAGACCTGTGCATCAAAACATAAACCCACTTTAGTCCAGTTTTTAAAAACTGCAAAGCAGCTACAATAACAACGCATTTGTTGTGTTAAAAAGCCTTTAATGTTGGACAAAAGTTAATGAGCTTTACCAACAAGCCGAAGCCAATAAGTTTAAGCTTGAAAGTGTGCGGTAAACTTTAAAAATGCTTCTGTGTTTTTGTGTTTTAAGAAATTTTCTTAAAGTGTGATTGTTTTACATTTGGATAAAAATTATTGGTTGTTTAGCATTAAGTTCAGCTTCCAGTTATTTGGTACACCACTTTATTTAAACTGCAACAAGTCCTAATCTTAGGTAATTCTAAGTGTAAGTGAAAGTGTTTGTGTGCAGGTTGGCACGTTGTGCAGCTGTGACTCACGCCCAGTGTAGTGCTCTGTCTGTTGTAGCCAGCGAAGTGCAGGATGCTCTCTGTGGCCATGGCCAGCCCCGTGTGCTGGGACAGGCCCGACACCCAGATCTGATGCTTGTTCAGGTACTCCTGCAAACAAATGCCAACAATAAAATAAACACAAACAAATCAAACAAAAWAATGTCAAACAAATGTTTCAGTATCCTGCAGTAAATAAAATCATATTTTATGAGAGACTGGTGCAAATATAAATATGCTACATTTATTATTCGAACAGGAGTCTCTAAAACAAGACACGTACCTGTAGGTGGGACTTTGTTACAGAAGGGGCCCATTTCATTGCTTCTTTTAATATCTCACCACAGCGAGCTGCAAAGTCCTTTACTATGCTCTGTAATAAAATATATGTTACACTGAAAAACACTGAACTTTAAAAATAACAGATTTTCCTTGCTTGTTTCAATAACAAATCTGGATTTTGAGTAAGAGAATTTGGACGAATAAATGTAAGAACACTACATTTAAAATTGATGCCATGCTGCCCTCCAGCGGCCATAAATGTGTTAAGAACACAAACTCACCTCTCGAGCTTCATAAGTATCAGGAGCAGTGATTCGGTAAGGAGTATCAGGAATGTCGTAGTACGGCTGATCTTTGTGAATGTCCTAAATAAATTTAAAAAAAAAACATTTTTTTAAGATGAATCGAATTAAACTTATCAGAGATTTTATCAATGGTGCTCTTATTTAACCTATAAATGATCCACCCTCTTAAAGCAATTTAGGTTTGACAAAGTGTTATTTTTCTACATTTTTTTACCGATACTTACAGCACTTAGAGACAGTGAGAGTGTTTGCAAAATATCTAGCATGGTCTTCAAGACTCGACCACTCCACAGAAGATGGGGGAATCTGAGGGAAATAAAAATCATACAATATTATAAACAAGAAGCAGAAGTCAAAAAAGGTGCAGGATTGAAGGGGTGGCAGCAAAGATCGAAGCAGTGAAACCAGATGTGTTGCACGGTTTGGAAACACTGACAAAAAGACAGGAGACAGAACTGGAAGCGTCAGAGCTAAAGATGTTGAGGTTCTCCTTGTGAGTGACAAAAACGGCTACAATTAGGAATGAGAGCATCAGAGGTACAGCACTGATTGAACCACTCAGAGATAAAGTTAGAGAGGTCAGACTCAGATGTTTGGTCATATCCAGAGGAGGGACAGTGAGCATAATGGTATAAAGATGTTAGAGATGCAGCTGCCAGGACATGGAGGTAGTTGGATTGAGGACAGAGGAAGAAGATAGAGTAAGATGGAGGATTAAGAGGGAACAACTGAAGGAAGAAGATACTTGTCAGACACGAACTTTAAACAAATGAACTGACTGCCTGCTACTCACGTCTCGGCCAAACCAGAGAGGTATTTGTCGGCCACTCTGCGGATCCTCTTGTGGGTGTGGTTAAAGTTGACCAATAAGAACTGAGCGTGGCGCTCAAGTTCTTCCTCATGTTCTTTAGTTTTGGGCTAAAAACAAACAAAAACACCATCCTTTATCATCAAAATCCAAAGATGGTCATTTTTTATTGTGTTTTTTGCTATTATTCTATGCAACTATGTTACCTACCTTCTCAGCCATCATCTGGAGGAAGACATCAAAAACTTTATCACCAACACAAATAATGCACTGTAGCATGCCTGCAACAATTAAAATAGAGGTTGAGTAAGTTAATTACAAATACTGAGGACTATATTAGCAAAAGAGGCTAAAAACCTCACCTGATTTATCTTTTTGGATTGCCTTGTCTTCATAGTACCGAAACATGACTTGAAATCGATCAGCATCATTGGATCGCAGCATCCTACCAGAATACAAGTGAAATAAAGATATAAAACAGCTGCACATTTTGATTTAAACATATCAGGGAATCCAGTGAGACAAAAAAGGAGGAATTGTCAGCAGGCATTTGAGCTGACCTCATATATTCTAATCGGTAGACTGAGAGCAGGTACGTGGACATGGCGAAGTCCAGCTTATTAATGAGGGCAGATCCTTCAGGAGGAGGATCAAGGAGGTTACTGATGGTTAACCGCAGTTCGCTCAGCTCAGCCTGGAAGACAAAAATACACAAATTAACAACCCACTGCTGCAATTTCAAACACTCTTAAGTGGAAAAAAAGATATATGACACTGTACCGCTGTCACAGTGTCATTTTTCAGAGCCGAGTTGTACTGCAGTTCAGAACGAAGAGGTTCTCCACTGGGAAAGGTGAGGAGGGGAGACTTGGTGGCGATCTCACACACACCTTCATACCACTCCTCTGGCCAAAGCCCTGAAAGAACAAAACATACATTAAGAAATGGGCATGTTGGTGCACAAATATCTTCCAACTACATAGATTATAGCAACATAAATATACATTGAGGATACATTTATCTACTTTCATCTAAGTTCAAATACATGTTATTATTTATCGATTTATCAGAAACGTTTTATGCAGTTTAGGGAATCAAAAGTCACCAAAGCAACTTTAGACCATAATCTTTATAAGACAAACAGAGGTGCTGATTATGTTAAAAAAAATAATAAAAAAAAAGACTTTGATCAAAAAAAAAGACAAACAGAGGTGCTGAACCCTTTTCAAACATGAGAAACACAATTAATAATTTTCTGACTCACCTGATCCTTCCACAGCAAAGCCCATGACCACAGAGTACAACCAGAAGTCCCTGAACAGCTTCTGGAGACGAGGCTTGGCCTCTTTGATTGGTGGAAGTCGCCTGGTCAACTGCMAGTGGGAAAACCATGACAAATATAAGGCAAAAAACGCTCCGTTACACAAATCATAACAACCCTAAAACTGAATATCAATGTAGGACCAAATGGTAGTTTATTTGAATATAAATGGCTCAGTTCTAGAGACAGTTTCAAACTGGTACAAAATACTCATTAAGACATATGGTTAGTGATAAAATCAAATATTATTTGGAGAGATGAGCTGAACTCTGAAGAGTTAAGGGTTTTAGTCTGTCAGCGGACTTTTTGGACTGTTTGATTAGGTCTATTTGTTTTAAGAGAAGCACACATCAAAGTTCAGTTTCGTAGTCTTAGTCCCACAAACAGAAGCAACACACTTCCCACAAGTCAAAGCAAAGGTAAGACGTTTAACAGAACCTCCATGCAGACTTTGTATCTTTAATCTTATTTAATGAAACCATAAAAAATAATCCAAACAGCAACAGTTAATCTAACTTGTTTTGTTCTGCCTCTGTCTTCAGGATGTGGGTCATCACAGTCWTTTCTGTGGCCTGCCTGTTGGCCAGTCCATCCCTGGCTGGCGTCAAAGATCTGAGCACTCACTTCACTGACCCCAAACCAAACCCCAGAGGCTTAGAACCAGGTGGTGAAGTGGACGTCGAGGCCATTCCCTTGGAATTCCACAAAGAAAACACTGTCACCAATGACCTTGTTTTTGAAGGCTTTGATGATGAAGATTATATCGATTTTGATAAGATCCTGGCAGCAGGGAGTGATGATTACATGTAAGTTTTACTGGTTTTGATTGTGTAAAATGTCATGTTGAATAACTTGAAACAGCAAGCCTAAATGAGATTGATTTTAAAATTTATAGAACCGTTTTAGGAAAAGGTGTTTAAAAGCTAAATTACGTGATCAGATGAATTGCTGGATTGTTTTCAGTGAGGGGGATGCGATTGACGAGATAGCTACACCAGCGCCGGACATCGACATCTTTGCTGAACCGTCTGATCCAAAGATTCGTCGAGCCAGACTCTTAAGTCTCTTCCATGGTCGATCTCGCCTTCAGCGCCTTAACATCGTGAACGCCCACTTCGGTTTTAATCTTTATCGAAGTCTTCGTAACGACGTAAACCAGACTGACAACATCCTGCTAGCCCCTGCAGGAATCTCCATCGCCATGGGGATGATGTCTTTAGGAGCAGGACCTGGAACTCACGATCAGATCTACAAAGCTCTGGGGTTCGCTGACTTTGTGAACGCCAGCCATCATTATGACAACACAACAGTGCACAAGCTGTTCAGGAAGCTGACCCACAGGCTTTTCAGGAGGAACTTTGGCTATACGCTCCGCTCTGTAAATGACGTCTACGTAAAGAAAAATATCACCATAAAAGACACGTTCCGCACAGAAACAAAAGCTTATTATTTTGCCGAGCCGCAGACAGTCGACTTCAGAGAGCCAGCATTCCTGAACAAAGCCAATCGTCGCATAGAAAAACTGACCAAGGGGCTGATCAGRGAACCGCTAAAGACTGTGGACCCAAACATGGTACTGATGCTACTTAACTACCTGTACTTCAAAGGTGAGCGGAAATAAATCTCATCATTGTTTATGACTTGTATGTTATTATGAGTCTTAGGTTCTGTTTGTTTGCATAAACAGGAACATGGGAACAGAAATTCCCAAAAGAGATGACCTACTACCGAAACTTCAGAGTAAATGAAAAGACAAGTGTACGTGTACCAATGATGATAAACAAGGGGAACTATCTGGCAGCTGCTGACCACGGACTGGAATGTGACATCCTACAGGTGAGTGGCTTTACTCTGATAATAAAGCTAAAGGCTAAAAAGTCTAAAATAAAAACAAAAAAGAAAAGCGACCAAGAAACAGGCCAACCGAGCCGCATATTAAACCCTCTCATCTTCAGCTCCCATACACAGGAAGCATCAGCATGCTCATTGCTTTGCCAAGGAAGATCACAGGAATGAGAACCTTGGAGCAGGAGATCTCACCAACTGTTGTCAACAAGTGGCTCAAAAACATGACAAACAGGTCAGCGGCATCTCCACAAGTAAACACAGCTGCTAAAAGTAGTTTCTGAACCCTTTGTAATTTGCATACTTATTGCTTTAGTTAATGATAAAATGCAGTCTGAAACTAGGGCTGGACGATATGGCTAAAATTTATATGACATTATAACTCCTAATTTCAGTCGATACAATATAATTTCAATATCGATATGAATAATAAAAATGTCAAAATAACTTCAAAGAACACCCATATTTACTGTACCAACAAACCTGATGTCATTTCAGATATATTTAATTATAATTGTGATAGTCAGAACAAAAAGTGAGATATCTCAAATTTACTTTATGACTAGTCAAAATGTAATTGTTGATATCTGAAATACTATATGTTTCAGATAGTCAGCACTGATGTAACGTAAATAGATTCAAYTTTTTGGTTTATCAGTTATTGAAACATTTTCAATCAGGATATCACTGACTAAGAAACAACAGAATGTTTTGTTATTTGACTGGTGATACAGTTTGTCTTTAATTGTGAAACCTTCCAAGTTTTATCAGCAATAAATGTTAAAATGGTGTGGAATCACCAGTGGAAGCTTCTTCGTAGTTAGTAATAATGGGAGAAATAATGTTTAAGATTAAATTATCTCATGACGACAGTATTCTTTGTCTCCCCTCAGGACTCGCGAGGTCTCGTTACCTCGGTTTAAACTGGAGCAAAATTATGACCTAATTGAAAATCTGAAGAAAATAGGCCTCACTGACATCTTCCAGCAGAGTGGAGATTTCAGCAGAATGACTACAGAAAAAGTCACCATGAACTGGGTGAGTAAGACTAAACCCCTGATAAAGAACAAACCCTCCATGCTCTGGTTTGTTTGTTTAGTTCTGAAACACTCTCTGCACAGCTGAAGCACCAGGGAACCATCACAGTGAATGAAGAGGGAACAGAAGCTGCCGCTCTGACCCAAGTGGGCTTCATGCCCCTCTCCTCTCAGATCCGCTTCGTTGTTGACCACCCGTTCCTCTTCCTGATCTACGAGCACCGCACCGACTGCCTCGTCTTCATTGGTCGGGTAGTGAATCCCTCACAAAACTGAACAATTGAACAAACCAGGAGGAATTTCATGTCTGGTTACTGATCTTTACACAGTTAATGAGGTGCATGCCTGTTTAGAGGAAGTGTATTTCAACGGACAGGAAGTAGGCATGAATATATCTAGAAAAAGGTCAATAAAGTCCTGCATTAATTTCCATAACATCAGTCACTCTACTGACCTAATATTCTTGAAGTCTTTGGGTGTTAAAGAGATGTTAATGAACATTTAAACTGTGTTTTCCCACTTAAAGTGCAGAGTTTTTCTGTCTGACTCACCTATTGCTTATCTGTTAATGTTTCAACAAGACTAGTAGAGAAGTGTGCTAAACAAAACATTGCCGTTCCTCTAATAATGTAAAGTGAAAATGTCATAGAAAATGAACAACTGAGTAATGTCATAATAAAGTTATATAAAAGACAAATTTAGATGAATAAAAATAACATTTCTTATATTACATTCTTTTATTTTATGATACAATCCATCCATTATCTTAACCTGCATCTTCCTTTCAGGGTCAGGGGGGTCACTGGTGCCCATATCCAGTAGTCACTGTGCGAGGGGCGGGGTTCACCCTGGTTAGGTTGCAAGTCCATCACAGGCACACACAGAGAAACAACCATTCACTCTGTCACTCACACCAAGGGATGATTTAGAGTTACCAATTAGTCTAACAGAAAGGTCCTGGGCCCGGATTCGATCCGACGACCTTTGTGCTGAGAGGCAACAGTTCCACCATCTGAGCCAATTAATTGAATTAAGGCTTAAAACTTAAACTTTCATGTCAGTGGTTGATTGTTGTGTTGTAATTTAGCCTCCAACTGCTAGTCGGCAGCTGTCAGCCATCCATTTGGCTCCTCCACTTCTAAAGAGCCAGAGAGTTTAAAGCTAGCTCAAACATTAGCATTGTGAGTAATCATACAAAACATACTGTGAAGTTCTTTTTAAATTAGAATTTCTGAAGAAAAATAGGCAATATATCAATGTTTACGGCAGTGGTTCCCAAACTATTTTCCTCAAAGCCCCTTCTTACTTCCTAGTCAATCTGAGCCCCCCTGCGCTACTCTCCTCCCCCAAAGACTCATTCAGATTAATCTTTTTAATAAAAGAATAAAATAAATAGCTGCAAACTATTATTTGGAAATGGTATAAAC